ATTTTCAAAGTAACGAGTTGTCGCTTCTTATACATTTACGTTCTTTGATAATACCAAATGAAAATTCGTTCGCTCAGCACTTTCGACCACAGTCGAAAATCGAATGCAACTCATAATAGGGGCCTTGATAATTGAAAATTCGTTTCTCTCTCACTTTTTACGTATCTGCGCGTCGGCTAGAGATGAGTTCGGGAATGATGTTGGATATCAACTTGAGAACTATGAATTTCTCCAATGTTGGAGAAATATTTTCTTGATGTTTATTGGGTATATGGGTCGATTATCGATAGCAACCGAACTTCAATTGCGTTGCTAGTAGCCGTAACCATAGGTTTGTATAGTAACTTCTCCAGTAAAACATTGCAGCCAGAGTGTAAAAGCAAAATAGAGCGTAAAATTTACAAGAAGGGAAAACTAGCAGAAAAAGTAACTGAACGCAAAACTAGTAAAAACTTGCAAGGGAATAGTTGTTGCACCCTTTTGATATTCTGCTGTAAACATTTTACTATTTTAAACTCTTTGCTTTTCACACAAGCATTTACACAGTCTGGTACATCATTAATATTTTGATTTCTACTCATTTTACTTTTGTTTGTGCAAAACCAATTCAAGAAATGGCGGCTTTTGACATTTATTCTTCTTCTTCTGCTAGTAAAAATTTCACTAGCAAGAATTTGCAGCTCTCCCGTGTTATTACGCTCTCGATTCAGTGCTCTCTTGCAAATTTTTTGGGTTATCATACACTTTTCCAGTAAAAATTTGCAGGTTCCAGTACAAATTAGTACTGACTACAAACCTCATATTACAGATGGCAACTGGCAACTCGTCAACTAGCAACTGCACTTCACTAATTTACAAATTACGCAATGAGGCTGATAGTATCGAAAGTATTTTTTCCTCCACTCCTCCTGTGCTATGTTATACATTGTTCGTTCAAGACATTTTGAGCACTTTTGCAAAACTTACAAAGGCGAAAGCAAACAGAGAATAAAAAAATTTCCTGCTGTGAATTTTCAGGGCTACATATATATTTTTAATATTCATCTCAAAATCGTACTAATCGTTTTACGTAGTAGAAAAGTATGTATATTGTGAACGAAATCGCATCAAAAAAGTACAATTATCTTATCTTATTACATTAAACGAGCAATTCTTGTATATATATATATAGGCATTATCTCCGAGAAGACTCTATAAGGTTTGCCACCTATTCGAAATTAGTTACAAATTAATTAAAACATCATAATATGGGCACTAAATGGAAGGTATTTCCAAGATCCCTAATTCAAAAATATTTTTAATAGGATTGCCACCTATTTTGAATCGCATACTTATTTAATTTTTATTTAGAAAAAAAGGTAGGATATTACTGTACATGTGCACCAAGATAAGGATCTTAAAAAATTCTTCCCTATATACAAAATGGTAACCCTTAGGATAGTAGTATAAGGTTGCCACTTATTTTCGATTCCACACAATTCATCTAAAACATAGCAATATGGATATTGTTACGATTATCCTCGAAACCTTGAGGGATTTCCCAAATATACT